AACCTTTAGGTTGTGGGCCCGCCCGGCTGGGGTGGGAGACCATGATGGAGAGGAATGGGAGGTGGGATCCAGCCACAGCCCCTGCAAGCCAGGCCAGACACAGCAGAGTGTTGAGAGACAAGAAGCATCAGCAGACTGGAGTGGGAATGGGATAAATGGTGGTGGAAGAGGAAAAGGCTGCCACTGCTGAAGCAATTTCACCCGCTCCTCACCTCAGCCATGCACCACCATGTTAGGGAGGATCGCAGAAGCGGAGGCAATGGTTTAAAGGGAGGATGAAAAGAGCCACAGTTCCCTCCCCAAGGGAAACTTAGCCTCCACCAATAAAACCCAATCCCCCCCTTGTTACCTCCACCTCCTGGAGCCCATTAAGAGGTGTGTGTGTTTGTGGGGGCTTTAGAAAGGACCCAGCTGCAATTTTTTTAAGCTGGCTACCTAAATGAAAGTACAGCCATCACATCAGATGCTAGGTTAGAATCATATTCTGAAATTTTTATTTTGAATGTGTTTTCTTTATGCCATTTAAAATACCTTTTATGCAAATATGGTAGGGGTCTGCAAGTGAGTTGGCTATAATAGAGGGTTGCAAATTGAAAAAAATATATAAATGGGGGGGGGATTAATTACAAGCAACTCCATTATTGGAACCATTTCTCCCTGAAATCTGACACTGCCATGGGAAACAGTATGCCACTATGCTTTGCTTACTTACCTCATAGTTCAATGATCACAGTTTAGCCTTGCAGAAGACTGAGCTTCCATGACTGCCAAGACAAGGAAGCTAAAACAGACGCTAAGTCAGCTTAGGGCATGGCTTGTTGCTTTTTTCCTTCATTCTCTTGGAGCTGTAGCCCAGACAGACGACATTAGCAGTGTCTGGACTCCAACCAGCTTTATACTAACTATGATGCATCCATCGATCAGGAGGAACTAGGCTGTTGTTTTGCACTGATTTGAGGGAACTGTTTCTGCTGCTCTCTGCTGTTAGCAATATTCCAGTGTAAGAAACAGCAATAAAATATCTCCACAGTTTCCTGTGCATAGCTACTTGCAACGCCAACATGTCTGTGTTGCAGAAGAAACCAAATCTGTGGTTCAAGAAATCAATTAAGAAGTATTTTAAGCTTGTATTCTCGAAGGCCTTCACTGCTGGGATCTGATGGTTGTTGTGGGTTTTTCGGGCTTTTTGGCCATGTTCGGGAGGTTTTTCTTCCTAACGTTTCGCCAGTGTCTGCGGCTGGCATCTTCAGGGGACAGGAGGTAGAACTCTGTGTTCTTCTGAACACAGACAGAACACAGAATTCTAACTCCTGTCCTCTGAAGATGCCGGCCACAGAGACTGGTGAAACGTTAGGAAGAAAAGAACATGGCCAAACAGCCTGAAAAACCTACAACCATATTTTAAGTTTGATGCAGCAGAATATATTTAAGGTACACCACTGACCTCTAATGGGCTTCTAATGTATATGCACCATGAAACCCTGAAACTGAAACTATGACCTAAAAAAAATCTAAACATTTAAGCACCAATATTTCATAAGTATAGGCCTCCAAATAACACAAATGTATTAAGTAACAAAACACTAAAATGATAAAACCAATATATCTGTAAGAGTCTATATTCATTCTTTTGTTAGCTATTAATAGCAGACCATGTCTTTTTGCTTCAGAATATTAAGAGACCTTCATATTTGGTGACTCACCATAGGAATGGTTAAAACTCAATGTGTATTTGTTTTCTGGAGTTGCAAGACTATGGATGTTGTCAGGACACAATATACAGAAAGATTTCCCAACTGAAATAGAGAATGTGCCTATTAATACTAGTTTCATGTGTGCGGATAGTGTTAGAAGCGCCTGACATGAAACTGCGGCAATGACAAGAAATCTTACATAAAGTTTTTAGGTGGTTCAGAGCATACTGTTTTGCCAAAGAGATTACTTTTCTCCAGCTCTACCTCCTCCTCCCTCCCCACCAGTGTGGCCTATCTATCTGCTGACTGGAAGCAACAATCTCAAATTACCAGTTGGTAGCAATCATAAAAATATTTTGACAGGACAGGCACCATCTTCCATCTGTAAATGAGAATCTAAATTCCCCTGTGATTCTTAGCCATTACACAGAATTACTGGAAGAGTATGGTAAGCATTAATGGACTTTACAGAAAACAGTGGCCAATTCTTTTCCCATTCTAACAGTGCAGTCAAAAATCAAGACAACTTTAACATGAAATTACATGTGGTTTTCAAAGGGGGGGAAGTATCTAGGCATTAAAAAAACCTGGTTCAGATTTACCATAAAAGCAAAGAACATAGCTGAGTGGGCTGATTTTATATAATCATATGAACAATGAGCAAAATCCTATTCCATAATGTTGTGCTGGCACAATCTGGATTGGATGTTGGAAGCGTTTAATTTAAAGTAATTGAAAACTTCCTACACCCTTCCTTTTAGGTTCCAAGCCTCCCTAGGGTTCTCTTTTGCTCCAGAGAAGCCTTTAGGGGCCTCAGGATGGGCAGAGTGGGGTTTTAATAGTAAAAATATCACTGCCAGAAGATCCCATCCTGTTCAGAATAGTAGTGTTGGCCCTTTCGCAATTCTGTAAGAGTGACATATTTTCCCACCATTGTTATGTCTGACAGGTTTCCTAAATATGGAAGACTCTAATTTACAGTGATCTGGTCTTCAGTGAAAATGCAAATATGACCAGAATCCTTTTGTGAATTTACATACATGTAACTGTATATATTGTAATGAATTGTCATGAATTAATTGCCCAATTCATGTTGCTTACTATAGTAAATTACACTAGAGTAGGCCCTTATGAAGATCAACTCCATTGATTTAATAGACACCACTCTGATGGCAGAAAGTGAGGAGGAATTAAAGAACCTCATAACGAGGGTGAAAGAGGGCAAAAAAAAAAAAGTCTGAAGCTCAACATCAAAAAAACTAAGATCACAGCCACTGGTCCTATTACCTCCTGGCAAATAAAAGGGGAAGATATGGAGGTAGTGACAGATTTTACTTTCTTGGGCTCCATGATCACTGCAGATGGTGACAGCAGCCATGAAATTAAAATACGCCAGCTTATTGGGAGGGAAGCAACAACAAACCTAGACAGCATCTTAAAATGCAGAGACATCACCTTGCTTACAAAGGTCCGCGTAGTCAAAGCTATGGTTTTTCCAGTAACGATGTATGGAAGTGAGAGCTGGACCATAAAGAAGGCTGACTGCCGAAGAATTGACGCTTTTGAATTGTGGTGCTGGACGAGACTCTTGAGAGTCCCCAGGACTACAAGGAGAACAAACCTATCCATTTTGAAAGAAATCAACCCTGAGTGCTCACTGGAAGGACAGATCCTGAAGCTGAGGCTCCAGTACTTTGGCCATCTCATGAGAAGACGCTCTAGAAAAGACCCTGATGTTGAGAAAGTGTGAAGGCAAGAGAAGGGGACGGCAGAGGACGAGATGGTTGGACAGTGTCACTGAAGCTCCAACATGAATTTGACCCAACTTCGGGAGGCAGTGGAAGACAGGAGGGCCTGACGTTCTCTTGTCCATGGGGTCATGAAGAGTCGGACATGACTTAACGACTAAACAACAAGGCTGCATCTTACTATGCTAAAGTAAACCACAGATAAATTAGGCTCATTTGAATCAACAGAACATATGAGCTGACTCTCCAAATCCCCACTGATTCAGTCTGTTTATTTTAGTGCAATTCATTACACTAAGCAACAGGATTTTGATCAATACTTGTTTGCTAACATTTCTGATCACCTGCAAAGTTGTACAACTGGCATGTGATTATGAGTAGTTTCTTATTAATTAGTTGCAATTAGCTGCCACACTTAAGATGCTGTAAATCTGCTGTAGAATTCTGACCAGAATGGCTTTGGAGAAATCATCTTATTTTGCTTCAGTTCAAATGGGATCATTCTGACTAGTTCACTTTTACTTGGATTTTGTTAAATGTTTATCGATTGCCATCCTAT